GATTGTTTCTTCATAAGACAGGCCAGTTCCCCGTATAGATCATAAACTGGGTGTCCAAAGAACACAGACGGCTTAAAGGAGAGTAGTTCGTCTCTCATTTTTTCACACTGTTTTCCCTTTTCTGCGATGATTTGCTCCCATGACTCCCTTTTCCGTTTCCTTCCATTGATCTGATTTTTGAACAAGATTGCCGATACGTTTTGCTTCTAGGGCAGTCTTAGCGTTACGAATGCGCTCAGCTGCACCTACATGACCTGATCTTAGTGCCTTCGCTGTTTGATAGGCTTGTTCTGCCGACCTAAATGACTCTCCAAAGATCTTAATCTCACATGGGAAGAAATTTGACAATACATTGGTTTCTCCTTGAAAAGTTTCCAAATTTTTGGGTTTTACGGGAATGTAGAAATCGCAATCTTCAGATCCTGGTTTGTGCCCCGGTTTTTTGCATACTGCGCAGCACGTCTCATTTTCACAATGGAATTTATTGTGCCCATTTTGCCAGCAATTGGTGCATGTGAGTACTGGTTTGTCTATATGCTGGTCTAGATGGTATAGCTTACATTTCAGCCCGGCACAATATACATTTCTGGGTAGGGTTGCGTTGGGTGGTAATGGATCTATGTATAGAAAACGATTTCCATTAAGAACACTTGTCATTCTTTTTGTTTCCGGATTTCTAATTTTCTCGTAGTACATTTCGGTTTTGGGTGTGACTTTAAGTTTAGACAACATTTCAAAGAGGGCACTATCATCCACCGATAGAGGGAGGCCGCAGATTGTAACTTTTAGAGACTTATCATCGGGAGCTTCAAGGCCTGTCGAATATGGATTTGAGTCATATACCTTGACATGTTGGTCCCCGATATCTAAGCCCTGCAGAAGAATGCCATCTCTTCCCTCTTTAGTATTCAATCAATCCGCCACAAATCTCTATCTAATTGGATACACCGAATGGTGTCTCCTACTACCTTGAAGCGCATTGTACAAGCAGAAACTTAGTGACCTTGCCCTCTTTCGAGCCAAGTATTTCACTGTTCTTTTAAATAGACCGGCTTTAAGACCTGTGCCATTGTTCGATGAACTCAATTCACTGATCTCTCACTCGCCGAATTTCGCCACAATAAACAGATGAACAGGATATAGAAAGAACACATAAATCCAATCAAATATTTCACAATTTTTCACAAGAAAATATATCTATGTAGTGTTATGTCCATATAGACCACACACAGAATTACAAAATATGAAAATAATTCCACAGAACTCGATCAAAAAAGCGGAGCTCGAAAGGTAACGTCCATAACCTGTGAGCCCGTCGCGTGATCCTTTTTTTGAGGGAATTTGAGGGAAACTCAAAATTCTCTGTCCATGTTAATTTCTGGTGTATACCTTTATCATTTGACATAACTCATTGGCTTTTTTGTATTTTGATTGCCTAAATCAGAGACATTCATACATAGAAAGAGAACAAAAAATGAATAGAGTGAATTTATTGCAATAACACCTACATGTTTAATACATAAAGAGAATTTTTTTTTTCATTCCTTTTTGACCTTTGGATTGACCCTGAATAGAGATACCATTTACTTTTTGGCAAAGTGTAAACTATATACTGCATGACTAAACATGGTTTGTATATTGAGATATGAAATGGTTTCTTTAATGCTTAAATCAAAATACTCCAACTGTCCTAGTGAGAATTATGCTCAACTATCCTCTTTAGGGAGAGGGCTCAAATAGGCTTTGCCCGCTGTCCAATCCCATTCACTAATGTGAATAAAATTTTGTATAAATTAATTATGCTCAATCAACTTTGTGAAATATTCCCAACTTATAACATTATATTTACATTATAAAAAACTGACTCAGATAAAATTGTTTGTTTTCTCATTTATTTTATAGGAAATAACATGGTGACAGTGAATCTAATCAGTTTTTAAACTGGTTAAAGTAATGTTTACAATTGTCTTAAAATGCTCAAATGCTAAATGTACTTATGGATTCAATATATAGATTAACCCCTTTGTAGTAAAAACCATTTTTCAAACCTGATTTTCTTGCCTATTCTCTCATGCATTACCTAACTTAAGTGATTACATGAACAAACAAATTTAAGACAGAACCACAATATATGCTGAATGCCCTGAAATGAAATGGTTACATATGTAAGATGTGTAACACATCATGTACAACTTTTAAGTTTACAAAATTTTAAGTTAACCATATTATATAGACTACATTTTTTTTTTCAAAGTTATGAAAAAATCTCCACAAAAGCAAAAATGTATTTATGCAAAAGATAAATGCTAGGGTACAATTTTAAAATACATTTTACATGAATCACATAAAGAACATAACAAATCTTTTCTTTGTGGTTGTTTTCCTTTTGGAACATCTGTGAACAGAGATATTCTATTTTGTCTTATTGATACATAAAAAGCGTCCAAAAATCATTTGGAATTGATGTATTAAACCCTGATACTCAGAATTTTAAGAGTTTCTGATGTGTGCACTACTTAGAAATTATTACAATGTAACAAAGATGAAACTCATAATTAATTTAATCAGAGATGATAAAGTCATCAGGTTTACACATGCTTTTCTAACACATCATGTACATTTTTTTTCTACTAGTATGTTTTTTTTCACAAAAAATTGAAATCAACAGTACTTAGCATTCCATATTAAAAATTATGAACCCTAGCTAATAAAAATCTAAAAGTATATTTGTGCATCAATGCATTATGTTTAACAAAACAATATCTTTCACTGTGATGAAAAATGTCTTCTTCATATAACATGCAGATGAAGAACTTCTTTGGATGATGTCATTTTCACATGTAGAAAAAAAACTAATTCAACTAAAACTAAAAGACAGTCATTAAAATTTTAAGGACATTAAAGGATGATATCAAGACCTAAGTCCAGAAAATGATAAAATTCTACAATTATCATCCAAAGATGTATATGTTTGGATTTATTTTTTAATTCACAAGCAAACGATATTGTGCCATTTAATCTTTCAAACTTAAAAGAAAAAATTGTATACTTTTGAATTAAAAATTACAAAATCTAGAGGAGTCTTCCCAATACCTATCTACATGTATTTATGACTGAAGGTATGTAAATCACCAGAGTTGCTGTACTGCACCATTTGAATAAAAGTCATATCCACATTCTTGACTTTTATCACTAAACCTTATTTCAAAACATAAATTCTTCCAACCAGTCTTTATCTACGCATTGATAATAAAATTTTACAGAATTCTAGGGTATTACATAGTAATATTCTTTAAACATCCTTGAACATAGTGCATATGATTTACATTTCAATTCTTTCCAAAGAATATGCTATGCCACCCAATAAAGCTGATATAAAGTCTCTAGGTTATTACAAAATGTTAAAGTTACAACAACTTATTTTGACCCAGGAGAAAAATGATCCAAAAATCTATAGAAAATATCCGAATCTTTCTTTACTTATGATGTGAATTTTGCAGGTTACAAATTATTGTCAAAGATAGTTATCTCAATAATCTCATGCTTTGACCCCGACAAAGTGTCCTATAAAACTAAGTGTATTAATCTAACTTATTTGTAGTAAGCATGAAGTCTAATGGTTGATAGAAATATTCAAGATATTATTACATCACAGATCAGGGGATACTTACATCTTTATGAGGGTCCTATTGAGACCTATTAAATTCAAAATAGGACACACACACATACACAAACAAATTCTTCTTAAAGTTCCAGGAAAGTAATAATTACACCAAAGCTAGCTTTTAAACATCTGTGTAATTTGTTAGGGGTTGTAGAAATAAGATGAAAAATAAAAGGTTTAAATGTATACTTCTCATGCATAACAACTGTCTTCATATTGAATTGGTAAAAATAAAAGTCACATTTAGATACTTTGAAGTCTGGGAATTATTATTATTATTTTTTTTTAAGATCTCATACTATCAGAAAATCACAATATCAATTCTAGGATTTGATTAGACATCAATTTGTTATATGACTGCAATTTATCTATTGTTGTGTATGACAGAATATGAAAGAATTGAAGGGGAGAGCTTTTGACCTTTTTTTCCTTCATCATAGTTTAAAATATATATTATACAGGTCTTTATCTATGTAGTGAATATAGGATTTTAACAGAAACCCAAGGTATTACATAGTAATAGTCATATAAACATCCTTGATCATTGTACATTTGATTAACATTTCATTCCTTTCCTAAGAAATTGCACCTAATTTTTATAAAGTCTATAAGTTATTACACAATGTTTAAGTTATTGCATTACAGGACTCAAATCAGTAATCTCAGTAACTAACTTTTACCCAGGAGTAAATGATCCAAAAAATTTATAGAAATATCTTATTGATTCTTCATCTGTGTACTTGTGATGTGAAGTTTGTAAGTTACAAATTATTGTCAAAGAAGTCATCTCAATAATCTTATGCTTTGACCTTGACAAAGTGTCCTTAACAACAAAGTGTATTCCTACAATCATTATATATGTAATTAGTATGATGAATATGTTATGATAAAGATATTCAAGATATTATTAAACCACAGATAATGGGACACTTGCATCTTTATTGGGGATCTTATTGAGACCAACTTTAAATTCAAAATTAAACATGATACATACACAAACAAAATATATTAACAATTCCAGGAAAGTTTAATAATAACATTAAATCCAGCATCTGGGTATCTGTGTAATTTCTAGGGGGTTGTAAAAATTAGATGAAAAATAAAAGGTTTTAATGTGTTATTCCCATACATAACAACAGTCTTCAATATGAATTGGTAAAAATAAAAAGAGCTCATGCTATCAGAAAATCATATTTTCAATACTTGATTTGACTAGATCTCAGTCTGATAAATGGTTACATCTTATCCATACTCAGTGTCTGACAGTAAAAGATACAATCCTGGGTCCTTTCTTTGTCATCCTGTAAACCACAGTTTATGATCGTACTTAAATTGGTTGGAAATCATATTTATCTATGTTCTTCTTGAATCTCCCATCCTGTTTGATTTTCTTGTTTCAGTGTTCCAAGAAAGGATATTCTGTTAGTCTTTGCTTAATCTGATAGTCTTTCACCATTCTGAGAGTAGACATAGATCATTTCCATAAGCCCTCACTAGAGAATCCTGGAAAATAGAAAAAAAAACGTCTTAGTTAAATTTTTTTTATGTAATATAAGCTTGATGGAATTCTAAATATAGACAAAAAAGGGTATAAATACAAGGTGTAATCTCGGATTTTGCAACTTTTCAAATTAACCATGGGTAAGGCCAAACAAAAAAATAACTTTGTTTACTGTTACATGCTGAAATAAAATAGGGTATAATTTTACTGAATTTTTTTAATACACAAATTCACATGAATTGGTTGAATTACAAAACAGTTTTACCATTGTACCGTGCCTTAATTTTGTTTGGGCTTGTAATATAGGGTGGTAGGCAATAAAATCTTTTCCAAATGCCTTACAACTCAGGGGTATGCAAATAAAAAAAATCAAGTACTAACCCACAGGCTTGTAACAACAATAACGTAAGTCCGAGTTAAAAGTGACCAGTCCAAATATTGGGGCAAAAAACTGTAAAAACTAATATTTTAAAAAGTTCATAGTTGAGAAAGCTAGGGTCCTAAGCCATTCCTTTTAATGTTGAAGTTTAAAACTTTTAAGAAATTATCTTTTCTTTCTGAACATATTGCACTAATCTAGCTTATCTTAAATGAGAGATTTTATTTTCATTTCAAACCATTAAGTATAATTGATATATATTAAAGTTTAATCACATAACACTTAGCTATCATTTGATTGGGATCATATATAATTGAAATAGATATCTGCATCGACACAGAGGAATGGAGGAAATACCAGTTAAAATAAAAAAAAGATGGCACTATTGAGATCATTTCTCAAGAAGAATATAACCAATTATGTCCAGAAAAGGACCTAATTCCTGATCCTAATAAAGGAATGAGTAAAATTCAGTTTGGAGAGAGAATTCTTTCAGAGAAAGATGTAGACAGAGGTATACCAGTTAAAATAAAAAAAAGATGGCACTATTGAGATCATTTCTCAAGAAGAATATAACCAATTATGTCCAGAAAAGGACCTAATTCCTGATCCTAATGTTGTCAGAGATTACATAGAAAGACCCTTGATTGCAGAAGAAGCCAATGAAGAATATAACCATTTATTACCAAAAGAGGATAAGAATTACTTGGATTACCCTGAAAGACCTTTGACTAGAGAAGAAGTCAAGTTTATAGATGATAAGAGAAAACAGTTGTCAGAAAAAAAAGATTGTTAAAGACATGATTTTTAGCCCATAAAACCATTGGAGATTCAAGGATTACAAGATATAAGGATTAATGGAGGAAGTCCAAACTGAACTCTTGGAAGACATTAAGTAACTTTCCAGTGTTTGTTTATTACAAAATTATGTATTCTGATTAAAAAAAAGTTTTCACTATCATTTGTTGTGCCTTTGACCATTTAAATCGACCTTATGGTCAAGATTGTGATACACACTCTGATAATCATTTATAATGTCTCTATGATGTTTACCTCAAAAGTGTGAATCAGGGTATTTGTGTTCAAAGAGCTGAAGAAACTTTACAGACAGATCTATAATGATTTTGGAAGCATACATATTAAAGAGGTTAAAGGAGATATAACACTTGAATTCATTACTACATTATTAAAAAGAAAGAACACAAACTCATGGAAATGATATTGAAAGTACCTTAAATGAATAAAGTGTCATGCTCCAAGGTGTGCTTTAACAGAAGGTTTACAGCAGTCCCATGCACTCATAAGAAGATCTTGGGTAGTAGAAACACCAGGAAATTTTAAATCCAAACAATCAGATCATCTTACATCAGTTATATGGTTACAGTCTTTATACATAGTCAAGAGGGTCATTAAGATTTCTTTTCTGGTCATTCTGATGAGCCACATTATAGTATTCTTTCCCTGTGATATAATGTTAATATTAAATGAAAAATTTAAAATTCATCAGCAATTGGAGTCAAAACTTGCTATCTTTACCAGCTATGCTATTAAGGAAACGGGGGGTTAACAAATTAGCCATATCTAATTTATTCTATAGATATGCTATCTTCAGCTGTTAACTATTATTTGGCAAAAAAATATATTCATTTTAGTTTTAAAATTTAATCATGCATTTTTGTATATATTTATATGGAGCTCTTCTTCTTCTAAAGGAGATCAATATAGTTTAAACATGACCATGACCACCAAGCCCTCTTTATTTAAAAAATCATATATCATTTACTTATCAATTCAAAAATATAAACATGCATATGTAAAATAAATAGATAAATAAATATTACAATTGTATCTCATTGAAATTTTACCTTCAAGTTTTGTGTGTTTCTTTGTTGGTTGACTAACTGTGTATTTCCAAAGGAAGAGCAGACTGTCTGAACTTCATAGAGAATTAATTATAGATGGTTAGGAACAAAACATAGCTTCCATGTTGATGACTGTACAAATAAAAGCATTTTGTTAATATGATGGAGTACTGTGTGAAACAATGCATGTTTAAATACAACATGTACAATGTCAAAAAATTTCATGAAAATATTTGTTTTTAATCTCAAAAATTGTTTTTAATTTTAACTCCAGATGAGAGAAGTTCATCATGTTAGTTATAGATAATAAACAAGCACAACTACTGTATCAATATTACAAATAAAATGATTATCAAATTAATTATTTAGACACTAAAAGACTTTTTATTAACAGCAGATTCAATTTTGGTTTAATACCTGTCAGTACTGCATACAGAAAAATACATTTTTTTAGCATTATCACAGTACAACATATAGTCCTTAATTTTTTGAAAAGCTCATTACCAAGAAACAAAAGTGAAAATGAAAATATATGTATGCCATATATCACACATATTTAGAATCAAAACAAAAGTAATTGACTTAGAATTAATCTTTTGTAAATTCCTTCTTTTCTCTTATTAGATTCCTAATTAATATCTCTTTGATCACCATTTAGTAAGTCTGAATTCCATGGGTAACAGACATAATGAATTATGACATTATATCATGATTTATGCAAAAGGACTTATTAACATTATGAAGTTTCCTTAATCATGTGTTAATATATTTTAGGTTAAATAAGGGTGTACTTATATAAATGTAAGTTAGAGACAACAGATCACATAAGTATACACAGTAATTAAATTAACCATATAATCATGCTTAATGTAAATGCAAAGATGACCTTCATAGGAAATGTAAACAATTAAAAAAAAAACAAGACAAACTTACCAGATATATCAAAATATATGCCCAATAAGCCTATCCATTAAATAATCCAGTGAAATAACATCGCAGCTGATCCTGAAAAAAATCATACAATTCAGTTATACACAATTAACCTCATTTTACAATGTAAGTAAAGCAATAATTTACAGACAAAAGGGACAGAAATGTAAAAGATACCATATGTATTTTACTAAAATTTAGTAAACATTTTTCTAAGTGAAATTCAATATCATGGAATGACCCATCATAGAAATATTAAATGCACTCTGAGACACATGCAGGCTAAACAACTGTAAATCACATGAAATGAAGATAAATACAGCATTTACATTCAAAATGGAACTTTACATATTAATCATGGTTAAATGCAAAGATGTCCATCATAGGAAATGTAAACAATTAAAAAAACTAGACAAACTTACTAGAGATATCCAGCTATATGCCCAAAAAGCCTATCCATTAAATAATCCTGTGAATTAACATCTCAGCTGATCCTGAAATCATACAATTCAGTGATACACATTTAACCTCATTTACCATGTAAGTAAAGTACTAATTTAAAGACAAAAGGGACAGAAATGTAAAAGATACCATGTATTTGACCAAAATTTAGTGAATATTTTTTCTGATTGAAATTCAATTATAGAATGATCTATAATATAACAACATGTAGTCCTTAATTTTTTGAAAAGCTCATTACCAAGAAACAAAAGTGAAAATGAAATTATATGTATGCCATATATCACACATATTTAGAATCAAAACAAAAAGTAAATGACTTAGGATTAATCTTTTGTAAATTCCTCATTTTCTCTTATTAGATCCCTAATTAATATCTCTTTGATCACCATTTAGTAAGTCTGAATTTAATGGGTAACATACATAATGAATTATGAAATTATATCATGATTTATACAAAAGGGCTTAATAATATTCTGAAGATCCCTTAATCATGTGTTAATATATTTTAGGTTAAATAAGGGTGTGTTTATATGAATGTAAGTTAGAGATATCAGATCACATAACCATATTAAATTAACCATATAATCATGCTTAAATGCAAAGATGACCTTCATAGGAAATGTAAACAGAAATAAGACAAACTTACCTGTGGAATATGTCTGTCAGAAAGGAGATTTCAAAAATGAACGCGGTCTCAACATTCACATGGAAAGAATGCATCACTGATCAGGATGTTTACTTCAGTGGTCATAGAGAAATTGAGCTTTAAACAAGAAAAGCTTCACAGCAGGAAAATCATCATAGTAAAAGAGAGAAAAAAACAAAAGATAGTCCTACATTTTCTGAAAATGTAAGTTCACTTCTTAGAAACAAAAGTGACAATGAAACTTTAATTTTACAAGTGTATGACGTCACAATGCATAGGTAAGTCTATGGTATTTTTTGCACACGGCCCCCCTTACAGATGATGCAACAGGTATAAAAAAAGATGATGCAATGGATATAAAAAGATGATGCCACAGGTCGTAGTAGCAGCGTACCAATGTAAACACAGTGTAAACACCCCGTATTTAAGGGGGACTATATGTATTGAATTAACCCACCTATCCCCCAGGGGGACTGTACTGAGTTGACCCCCTATCCCCCAGGGGGGGCCTGTACTCCCTTGGCCCCCTATTTTCCCCACAGGGGCTGCACTAGGTTGACCCACCTATCCCCCAGCCCCAAAAAGTGCACTCCCTTAACCCACCCAGAGGCTCAGCCAATCAGAATCCAGTATTTTTGACCTCATTTGCATAAAAAGTGCACTCAATTGAACTCGCCATCTAGACGGTTTATACTACTGTTGGGCCAATGTCAGATCCCCAACATCAAGCTAACCTGTTGGTCGAACGTTCGGCCGATGAGCGTCTGTAACGCTTCTCCTCCTACAGTTTTGATCTGATTTCAATTTTACTTGGCACACAAAAACTACACTAAGATACATAAAAAGGACATCGGTTTTCGATGAACGGTGTTGCCATGGTTACTAAAAAAAGAATTTTCTGTGAAATTCCTTTCACTGTGCGACATAGCAATTCTTGCAGCCTATGAACTTTACACATTTCCATTCCCCCTCCTGGTTATTTCATTTGAATGAATCTCCAGATTAAATCAGGACTTAACAGAGATAATGTTGGCAGAAGACGGAACCTTTATGAAAAGTGAAGAGGCACTGGCACGTCAGCATTTTTTTATGCTGGGCTTTTTATAGGTAAATTTCCTTTCTAATTGGATTCCAAGGTAATGTTTTTTAATGCTGACTGTTATAGTCTGTCCCACGACCGGAACGTCACTACTTTTTGCAAAATATCTCAAAATAACTAAACACCTTGGACTTCAACCTATATCCGATTGGAAGATTGATTTTTTTCCAAACTTCCTGCATTTATCCGAACCCTCGAGGTCAACCGGTGTATACACACGGCGGCAAATTCAAAGTCTACGGGGATTTAACATTGTCAAAATGGCCACCGCTTCGGAAGGGGGTCATCCATTGTTCGTAATTTTCCGTACATTGCCGTCAGTAAGGAAGTGACGTCACACACGTTCGGGAGTGCTCTATGGTTATCGACGTCCGAATTACCTATAACGCCCGAGACTGCCAAGTATATGTACTGCAAAAAATTACGTCTCCAACAAAACTTTCATACCCAGACTGAGACCGAAGGGATCAAAGATTCATTAAAGGGTTATACACTGCATAAAGCAAAGAGGTATGACTCACTTCATATATAACAGCATAAGGGGTGAGTAAATTGCCATCATCACCTTGCTTTACATTAAAAAAATCGAGGCTTGGTTATTGCAAATTTGGCTCGAGTGAAATGACTGCTTTTATATCACTAAAGCAGTATTAATATTTAAAAAAAAATGCTGTCTTACCTTAAGGTTTCTCCCTAGCTTTCCATATAAATCCAACCCCTTATAGTTTGTTGTAAACTGTGACACACGGTCAAAATAAGCTTCATGTCGTTTCTGTGTGAACAAGTGATGTCCTTACATGCACATGCCACAGATTTCCTGACTTTTTTTACATCCAACGCTTTAAACACATAAATCCTTCGTTGATATTTTATTTAAATCCCAGTGCAAGACAACATTTGTTGTCTGCATCAAACTACGTCACCAATGAATTTTGACCTTGCCCTTCCAAAACTTCCTGTAATATCAGTGTTAGGTAAATTCAGACCCAGTATATCTATTTTTGTTTCCCACAAATATAACAGAATACCAAAAATTAAAATATTCCTATACACACAATATTAAAGTACATAACGCATATTAAAAGAATTATGGATTTTTTTAATATAATTTTTTCCCTAAAACAATTTAACAGATTAAATTTTATTATTTTTCAGAACAAATATTTTATTGTAGGATACCAAATAGCTACCTGGTGAAGACACAAGATGCAAAAGCACAAACATGGTTGTGTTCATTACATATATTAACTTAAGCCATAAGTACCCGCAGATATATTTTACAAGGTATGAAATAATGCAGATGTCTTGAGTTTGGTTTTCAGTCCCAACAAAATTTTTTTTGTAAATTTTCAAAGTATATTCTATGGAAGGGAATTACCGCCAAAAGTCTATGTATCTTGCTTTTATTCTTATTCTGCCTACTTCTTTATGCTTTGTTATTATTGTAATTATATGTCACTTTATTGTTTTCATATTCGTCTTCATTGCATTTCATTTTGACTTTTATCCTTCTTCATTTTGCCCTTACTTCTATGTTGCTTTATTCTTGTTAATTCATTTTACTTTCTTTTAAAATTGATACAGTTTCTTAAATGATTATCTCAATTACGAACGTGAATTCAATCACACTAAGAATGAAGCATATTCAATGAAGACGAATACAAGTTGTCAAAATTTAGTGCCGCATTATAACGCTAGGTGGCAGAGGTGTTCGCTACGAGTGATGGTAAAACTAGGTAAGCAAACCCGGGCCAGGGTTATTAAAGATTTTTCAATTTTCTGCCTTAATACTTTATCAATCGAACATCTGAAGGCCGAATCTGATCACCCGATCCGGAAACTCCATATTTATCTCCTCTGGGAACACAGGAATAGCGGCCTCTTTTTTTAAACATAACTTTATATACCGGTACTTTACTGAATATGCTCATTGAAAGGCCGACCCACTTTTTGTAAGGGTAAGGGTCAAATAAGGTTAATGTAGTATAGTAGGGATAACATTTAAATTTGATACTATAGAAGAAGTTGAATCTAACCCAAAACCCACCCACCCCCTTAATATGATTTCATTGGCATCGGAAGCAAAGTGAAAGTTGGGGCTGGGGGGGGGGGGGGGGTTAAGCGTAAGAAATATTTTTTAGACCTTGAAAAAAAAACTTGACAAGCAAAAAAAAAAGGAGAAATGTCCACTGTCCAAACACAAAAATCCTATATCGTGTGTGTGTGGTGGTGATGGTGGTGGGGGGGGGGGTTCAAATTTCAGTGCCAATTTCTTTTTTTCAAAACATCACCACTTTCCACATTTAAAACCTATGCTGCATCGAGTCCATGGAAAGTGTGTGGGGGGGGGGGG